GGGACAGCTGACCCCAACTGACCCAAGGGATGTTCCACACCGTATGGCGTCATGCTCAGCATATAAAGCTGGGGAAAGAAGAAGGAAGGGGGGGACGTTCAGAGCGATGGTGTTTGTCTTCCCAAGTCACCGTGACGCGTGATGGAGCCCTGCTTTCCTGGAGATGACTGAACACCTGCCTGCTGATGGGCAGTAGTGGATGAATTCCTTGTTTTGTTTTGCTTGTGTGCGCGGCTTTTGCTTTACCTATTAAGCTGTCTTTATCTTAACCCATGAGTTTTTCTCACTTTTACCCTTCTGATTCATCCCACCATCCCACCAGGGGGGAGTGAGCGAGCAGCTGGGTGGTGCTTGGTTGCCAGCTGGGGTTAAACTGCGACAGCTTATCTGGGCTTTTGGGTCTGTTTCCATTCAGCCTGATCTGCTACATTCTCTTGCTCCCTTCTTTTCTTGCCATCTTTCTACTTTTGTGATTTTACTTTTTTACTTTTTTTTTGATGGATTATCTGCCAGTATCCACTTTGCCAATCCTCTAAATAACCAAACAAAGGCATGGAGGGAAAGGGGGTCTGAGTAGCACTGTACCTTCTGACTCTGAATGTGAGTGGTAGAGAATCTTCCACCCCTTAGGACCATGGAGCAGGCATCTTATTTGCTCACTGCTGATCATTCTTCACCACTATCCACTTTGCTTAAATAGGGAACCTGTTTAAGGTTCTACAGGGGATGGTCCCTTGGGGAAGCAGGAAAATGAATGCTTTGAGGTGAAGGATGTGCCACTATTATGTGCCAGAAGGAAGGGAGTAATAACCTTTCTAGTGTTATTAACAGAGCAGCTATATGGACTGCATGTTTTTTTTTTTTTAAACAATCTTGATGGAAGGTAGAGAATCTTCCACCCCTTAGGACCATGGAGCAGGCATCTTATTTGCTCACTGCTGATCATTCTTCACCACTATCCACTTTGCTTAAATAGGGAACCTGTTTAAGGTTCTACAGGGGATGGTCCCTTGGGGAAGCAGGAAAATGAATGCTTTGAGGTGAAGGATGTGCCACTATTATGTGCCAGAAGGAAGGGAGTAATAACCTTTCTAGTATTATTAACAGAGCAGCTATATGGACTGCATGTTTTTTTTTTTTTTCAACTAATCCTGGATGCAAATGACTGTAGAGCTTGTGTTGTCTTTCCCTGCCAGAAGTAAAGGCTTGTGTTTCCAGCTAATTCAGCTCATTCTTGTAAAGCAGGAATTAATGAAACTGCAAAAAATTGTAGAGTTCATTTGAGAGATGATGGTTCCTTTCTTGACTGCTGCTCGTCTAATGCTCTTTGCAGGATGTTCTTTCAGGGCAGTTCAGACCAACCTGAGTAGTGGTGGCTGCCATTCTGCCTTGCCCCTGGCTGTGCAGTCCCACCCTCTCTGAAGTGTTCACACTGATATTTGTGTGATCCCACAGCGGCATGAAGGAATGGAGCTGCCTAAAAAT